CATCAATTTTTATATTATTTCGTCTAATTCAATTTATGTCATATTATTTATTTTGAAAAAGGCATAATTTTTAAAATTTATGATCTCAAATAAAACTTAGGTATTTATAGTTGTAAATCATTATATTGGGAGTAGAAAGAAATTTTTTTTAAATTAAGTTATTTCTAATTAGGGGTCCTTCTAATTAAAAAAACATATATATGACGCACTCCTTCAGATATATAGGAAGGAAATTAAAGGGTGCGAATGTCACTTAAACTAAGACGGACGACAATAAAATATACCATTAAAAATATACAATGACGATTTTCATAGATATAATAGTAACATATTCATACGAAAAATTAACAAGTGTTCCACTATTTCAGTGAAAATCTGATTCCATCATCTATTTTTTCAGTGAGCTGATTTGATAGAAAATAAGTGGAAAAATTTATATTTGAAAAAAATCTTATTTTACAACACAATTTTTTCACGAATTACAATGAATTTTTTTTAAAATTTCTGATAGTGAAAAGAGTTAAGTTACATTTTAAAACTATGACTTTTTTGTGTCGATTTTAATTTTTATGTCTTTATAGCTCAAATAGGTTTCAGATCACAGCTATAGCTTCCTTAAAATTTCTTCATTTTAACCAATTTAATAATTCTTCTATATTCTTCCTAATATCAATGACTAATAATAATAAAAAATAGTATCTAGAATAAGTCTACTTCGGTTGCTTCTTATTCTATATTTCATAACAACACAATTTCCTATCCTTTTGGAGCCCACACAATTAATGACCTATGATTTACATACTAAATACTCGATATGTTTCACTTTATATGACATGGTTTGACTTGATATAAAATTAAATTAACAGAAAAAAATTAAATTTATAATTTTAAATATGTTATAATATTTTTCAAACATAAAATTGTTCGAACGTATCTAGAAAATAGAAACACAAGCGAAATTTTATTTGTTGATTATTATAAGTAATTATTTCTGAATATAAAATTGCATATTTCTCTTTTGAAGTATCTAATAAAGAAATAGTACCCCATAAACCGTTCAACGGATGGAGTAACAAACACCAAACCAAATTTTTAGTACTATATACTATAATATCTACAAATATATATATAATATATCATTATGCCCCACAAGTTGTAATTTTAAACACATTTCAACAGCATATATCATCTTCTTCTATGCATCGATCTAATAATCACTTTAGCAACAATACAAGAAACCATCAAACAAATATAATCTTTCCCCTTATAATTAACTACAATATTAATCACTTGGTTTATCCATTTGATTATTAATTAATCACTAATATGGACATATTCCACAAAGCCAAGGTTGTAACATTCAAGAGCCATATAGATAAGTACTTAGTAGCCGATGATGATCAAGAAACCACCCGTCAAAGCCGGCGCAATGGCTCGTTGAGTCAAAAATCATGGTGGCTGGTTGAGCTTGTTAGCGGAAGCAGCCACCTTATTCGACTCAAGAGTTGTCATAGTGGCAAATACCTCATGGCTTCTGACGAACCATTTCTACTTGGCATGACAGGTAATAAAGTCGTTCAAAATTTACCTGAAAACTATACTAATAATGACTTGAGAATCGAATGGGAACCGATAAGGGACGGATTTCAAGTAAAGCTAAAGGCTTTTGGTGGGACTTTTTTACGTGCGAATGGAGGTATGCCACCGTGGATGAATTCGGTTACACATGATAATCCGCACACCGGTTCCACACATAATTGGATTTTGTGGAACGTAGAAACCGTCGATGTATCGGAAAACGAAATATTGATGATAGGTTATTCATCGATGGTCTCGAGCGTTTCGTCGATTTCCGATGAAGTTTCCGGCTTGGAAATGAGATCTCCGGCCATGTTGATACGTTCAAGTTTTTCACCCTCGCCTAAAATAACTACGGTATGTTTCTTAATCATGTCAACTGATTATTTCTTCTATCTCAATTTATTTATGATTATAAAAAATACACAAAAAGTCAATATTGTTAATGATGCAAAATATTTTTTGAAAAAAATTATACTTACAAAAAATATAAAATGGTAATTGCCACGATCTTATCATAAATTATGACCATAGTAGGAAAGACGTATTAATGTCTTTTTTATTTGCTACTTAGGGAGCAAGTAATTATAATTAGAATAAAAGACATTTTTCTTTTCTAACGTGACAAGGCACCCTAATGAATAATTAATGATAACGTGGACGTAATTTAAGAAAACATGAAAATACTATAAAAATATAGTTAGAATTACGTCAAGATCGCTACTTTGATTCAAAAATAACTAACGGTTTTCCAATTTTTTGGTTTTTGTAACCATAATCACATGTCATTTCGATTACTTGATAGAAAAAAGTTTTAAACAATACGCAAGTTATTGATGAAAATTGTACTCTTCTTTTTATTAGATTGACAATAATTAAAAAGGTAAACTATATATGATTTACACACGTATACAACATTATTAAAGAGGAGTATATTTAAAATTTGTTAGCTGCATTAATTTAAATTTACGCTAACGATGAAAGGCCAATAATAGATTAACAAATTTTCATTCCTAATACTAAAACTCAAAACTTTTAATTAAAAGTAACAAAACTCTTATTCATTAATTCCTCCACACTCCTTATATGACATTATAGTGTCTAACATGATATCAATAACTAGCAACAAGCTAGGAGTAAATTGAAGTGAACGATGATAATTCTTAAGGGTGGAGTTTATAATAAATTAGGGATTATATTGTGATAACAATTAAATTATATGTAAATTACTAGTGCAAAAATCTTTTATATTGTCAACATAAGTTTCTTAACCTATTTTAATTAATTAATTAATTAATAATTATTGTCATCTTACGAATTAATGTGATAAATTAATACTCCTATATTAAACTATAAAAAATTTCCCATTTTATGGATACCAAAGTCAAATTTTTCAATAGAAGCTTAATCGATCTTTTAGTTCCTCTACTTTTATGGATACCAAAGTCAAATTTTTTTCAATAGAAGCCTAATATAAAATATTAAACTATGATAATTTTACTATTCTATTCATATGATACAAATAGAATTAATTAAGATAAAATAAATTACGAAGATAACTTTAAAATATTATACGTCATTATTATTTATACATAAAGGGTTAAACTCAAGACCTTCTTCTGCGTATATAATGAGACTTTAACCATTAAGTCAGTGAGTAGGTTTCTAATTTCTTCATAAAATATAAAAAGACAAAATGTATATGTATTTCTAAAATAAAAAATAGGAAATCAACAAGAAATTACATGAGGCTTGTTTTTTAATTACTATAAAATTGTTTTCTACGTGTAAATAATAGGTCTATGTGGTAGACCATAATATGTATATATTTATAGAGTCAGGATTGACCATTTAAATGAGTCAAACCTTTGACTCTGAGTCAGCTGGCTGCTAAAATCCTATCCTTCACACTGTTAATTACTCTCTTGGTTATTTCAAGATTTTCTAAAATAATTTTCTTAATTTTTTATTTAATATATGTTAATTTAAAATTATTCTTAAAAAAAAATATTTGTAAAGGTTTTATTTTATTATTATTTTATATAATTATCTAATAATTCAAATAATATTAAAAAATAATAAATCTTTTTTAATTTGTTATATAGCTAAGTATCTTAAAATTCTTAGCCAGCTATCAAACCCTAATAATTTGTGGGCACCTTCCGATATATAATTAATTTATAATTATCATACTAGCTAAACATTAAAAAAATAAAAGTTTTTATTGGATTCCTATCATCCTATGTAGTATAAAAGAATTAAATTTAATGAACTTCCAATTATTTTCAGTAGCTTATAAATGGGGTCCATTTTTACCAGTCATAACAAAATGACAGCTATAAGAAAAAGTCAGATACAATAATCCCGAGAAAAAATATAAGATTATTTCATCCAACATATTTAGGTCTTAATCCGTTTTGAGAATGTTTATCTGAGTATTACATCTTAGTGATAAAATAACTTATCTCATATATATGATAAAATATTTACCTCATGATAATTTATTTCAAAATAATTAACTTCATGATAATTTATTTCTAACCAAACGATTGCTTATTTAATTATTATTGCTCTGACTGCGTTAAACAGTGTATTATATGAATCCGTGTGGCACATGCTTAAGTTACAATCTAGTGGCTGGCGCCGTCTGCCAAATTGCTAATTATTTCAATTCCCTTGAATTATTCAAACACCAATAATCAATCAAAATGACGAAAATAGCCCTTTAAGTTTGAGTTACACTCAAAATAATGCTTTAAGTATGCCTTAAAAACTTTAGTCCTTGAATTTATTAATTAAATAATTTGTGTTAAATATTTCAGAACTTTATATGTAAAATTTGATTGATTTATGTTAATAAAAAGAGTAAATTAGTAGAAATTCATATATATTTATTTTTAAGGTATAATGTCGAGTCTATTTTGCATATTTTAGAATTTGATGAAACTTTTCTAATTTTATGGTGAAATCATTATTTTTATGATGACTAAAATATGTTACTTCATCCGTTTTTTCTTATGTTGCACCATTTAACTTATTAAGATGTTTAGAAAAAAAGAAACTTTTAAATTTGTGATAAAAAAAAATAATTCTTAGATATTTATATGGCTATAAAATCATTATGTTATAGATAGAAAAAATTAAAATTAAATTATTTCCAATTATAACGAACTAAAAAAAAGAATATCACTTAAAATGAAAAGTAGAGATTATTAATCTTTAATAAATTTAAAAAATTAAAATTGTTCTACCTTTATACATAAAGGACCATTTTGTCATTTTCTCCAATCCTTTTCCACTTGCTCTATAAATAACTACTCTACAACAAACAATAATAAACATCTACACCAATTGTCATTTTTTTCTCTCCAACTCTCTTATAAAAAAATCCTCCAAATAGACTATTTCAAATTTTCTTGATTACATACAATTTTTACAGAGTACTTTGAGGAAGAAACCAGAAGAAATGGATCTTTTTTACAAGGCAAAAGCAGTAAGGCTAAGAAGTTATCATGAAAAATACTTAACAGCAGAGGAAGATGAAGAAACAGTGATTCAAGATCGTGATGGAGCTTCAAAGAATGCAATTTGGACTGTTGAATTCATCAATAATGCTGAACAAGTCAACACCATTAGACTCAAAAGTTGTTATAACAAGTATCTTACTGCTTCAAATCAACGATTTTTATTAGGTATTGTTATGGTTTTGACCTGATTTTTCTTAGTTTAATACTCTCTCTGTTTCAATTTATGTGATATTTTTTATTTTTCAAGTGTCATACCATCTAAGTTTTATGAAAGATAAAATTGTTTGAATCTCAAAATTCGATAAGTGCCTCGTAATTTGGGACGGAAGGAGTACAATTTAAATTATTATTTTTTTACAAAAAAGGATTTTTTTAGTCACGAGGACGCTAAAACTTGTGAGTATTTGAAAAAAAAAAAGGTTTTATGATATTTGGAAAGTAGAGTTGTATTTGACCATGAATATAAATTGCAGTTTTTTTGAATTTTCGTGAGTGATTTAGTGTGCTTTTGTTCATGTTTCATTGTGAATTTTTTTTAAAAAAAATAGTTTTTGTTGTTTAAAATGAAAAATGATATTTGAAAATTGGAGTAGGATTTGGTCACCAATATAAATTGGAGTTGTTTTTGAATTCCGTGAGTAATTTAGTAAGATTTGATCATGTTTCATTGTGAAATTTAAAAATATTTTTTTATAATTTTAGATATTTAAAAATTGGTGGTAGTTGTGTTTGACGATGAATACAGTGAGAGTTGTTTTTGAATTTTTATGAGTAATTAAAAAGAGTTTTGTTTACAAGGAAGGTTTATTCTCTCCAACTTATGATTATTCAAGTTTTACAATTGTTAGCTTTCCCATGACACCTGTTATTTCGATCTCGGTCCCACAGGTATGACAGGTAGAAAAGTTCTACAAACTCTGCCACAAAGGCTTGATTCTTCTGTTGAATGGGAACCTATTAGAGAAGGGAACCAAGTGAAGCTTAGGACAAAAAAAGGTCAATTTTTGAGGGCTAATGATAGTATTCCACCATGGAGGAATTCAGTAACACATAATATCCCACATAGAACTTCAACACAAGATTGGGTTTTGTGGGATGTTGATGTTGTTGAAATCTTGGTTCATTCACCTGTTCCTAAAGAACCTCCACCTTTGGTTTATCATGATCAAGAAGAAGAGACTAATTGGGGTTCTGAATCTACTTCACCTTCATCTACTCTTTACTCTGCATCAGCACAAAGATTTTCTAGACAAGAGGTATGTATTATTGTTATTTCCAAAAAAAAAAAAAAGAGTTTGAAATTCTTTGATGTTATGGTGATTATGGTTTGTTATTCTTTTTGTACCAATTTATGTGACGGAGAGGAGAGTTTTGACGTAACTGGAAAAGTTGTTTTTACATGACTAGGAGGGGAAGTAGTCTTTTGTAGAAATGCAGGGTAAGGCTGTATACAATAGATCCTTGTGAAATGACCCTTCCTTGGACCTTGCATATAGTACGAGCTTGGAGCACCGGGCTGTCCTTTTTACCAATTTATGTGACGTAGTTTGAGTCTGCACGAGATTAAGATAGAAATGAAAGACTTTTGAAACTTTGTGGTCTTCAACATGACATAGCACGGAATTACAATTGTTGGTGTTTTTGTCAACATATTGAAAAGAGGAAACGTACAACTTAGAGGAATTTTCTTGGTAAATCTGAATGACAATTTTTCATTGATTTAGTCCAATTTAGGTCTGAAAACTAGGTCAAATTGATTTTTGATAAGCTAAAAGTGTGAGGTAATATCGTGGATGGTCAATTAGTTTTTGTTTTATCACACCAAGGGGATTAAACTATTTTTCCTAATGAAAAAAAGTCAATAATGTCACCTTGGTTTGAAATTTGTGGTCTTCAACGTGACATAGCACGGAGTTCCAAATTTTTTATGTTTTTGTCAACATAGTGATCAGAGGAAACTTGCAGATTCTAGGAATTTTCTTGTAAATCTGAATATCAACTTTTCAGAAAATGAATTGATTTAGTCAAACTTATGTGACGTAGTTTGAATTTGCACAGTGATTAAGATATAAAAGAAAGACTTTTGAATCTTGTGTTCTTAAACATGACATAGCACGGAGGTTCCAATTGTTGGTGTTTTTGTTTCATTTGCACACTAGTTCCATCCAATGTTTAGTAATTTATCTTTTAGGCGAGTTTGGAGTTCTCTATTTTGTAATGGTATTGAAACCTCCGTTTTTTTTTTTTGACAGTCGGGTGAGTTTATGGCTAGTTCTTTAATGAAGTTTGGAGACGGGAGACTGATTTATTATCACATTGCTAATGAATATGGAGAAATCGATGATGGAGTAGAAGGTGTTTGCATTCCTTTTAAGGGAAGCAGTGTTGAGGAGCTGAAGAAGACATTGGAAGAAGAAACCGGACTAGAGGACATTACTGTGTGTACAAAGAGTCCTTTGAACGGTAAACTTTACCCTCTTCGTTTGCAGCTTCCTCCCAACAACGCAAATATGGATGTCGTTGTTGTGCCATCCGGCCTCATGTAAAGGTGAGACTTTTACTCGTTTTGAATTGGTTCTGTTTTGTAAGAGGTATCAAATAACTTTAGCAAATTTAAGATCCCTGTCTGGTGTCCATCATTTCGGAAAATGCTAAGGTTTAGGGAGACTGAGATTCTTGAACGAAGAGTATAATCTTCGTATCTGTGTCTTGACAGATGCTATTACCATTTAGCTATTCAAGCTTCTTGATTTCTTTGGAGTTGGGAGATGCTTGTATTACTCTACAGTATGCTAGTTTTTGGATTACCCCGCGGGAAGGAATAGTAGGTAAATGATGTCCAACTGTTTAAGTATGTCATGTCGGGAGATATAATTAAGTAAATAAAAATGTACTCTCTAACAACAACTTTTAGATAGTATAAGTGTGTGCCATGTCAATGTGCCTTCTGTTGTCACACAGATATGCAACGATACGTTGTCATATGGTAGCATCAAGATCGAGTTTCATGATACACGTTTTGCTCTGTAACTTAACGATGACATTCTCTTTTCTTAATGAGTCTTCTTCCTTCTGTTTACTTTATAATCTAGATTGTTTTTAGCATAAAGTTTGCTGATTATGTTACCATTGATCCTTTTTTTACATATCTGTTTTCGTGTATCAGTAGCAGGAGCTTTTGCAAATGCAAGGATGTCAACGTAGAGCAAATTTGATTGCACTATACATCAAAGGGTGCCTACATATGTCTAGTAATTCGATATTGAGTGAGTTGATATTACAACGAGCCCTCCAACAAGCAGAATAGAAGTTGATCACAAGGCCATCTCGGAGGGAGGTTTCTGCTACCATAAAGCATATGGGACAACCTATTTAGTCCCCATACTTATAAAGCATGTATGTATGTATGTGTATACATATATATATATATATATATATATGGTTTGTGATGAGAGTATTGTTAGTTGCCATGTATATCATTCTTTTAATTTTCCCAGGGAGAAGGGGGGGGGGGGGGGGGGGATTGTTTGATTTGTTGAATTGATTGAATTTTGTAGCTAGAGTTTGGATTGTAAATTATTTATCATTGAAATATTGAAGTTTAGCACTTCCTTTTGATTGCCTTAGAATGAATTGCATACATGTCAAACCTTTTGTCCTACAAAAACCTTGAAAAGTATCTTATCCCACATTGTTTCTTCGGTTTTCCACTCGATGACCGGTACTTACTCTAGGGTTTCAACTAATCCGTATTTGTAGAATAAGACCCATTAAAGGAGAAACGCTTTCTACCAGGATGTTTTCTTATCCAAATGGTCTTCACCTTTTTTTTTTGTCTGCTCTCATGTAGATGTGTACATCTTTTTGACTAAAACATGCCTTGGTTACTAAGAAATAAGTAGGTATGTACATTTGTATAACTTTAGGTATATATACAATTATACACATGCTGTATGTGAGTCCTAATAGAAAAATAGATAACTACGTAACCAATAGTTTAAATAACACTTAATAAGTAAATTTGAAACCACCAAAACATGTAAATTGATGCTAAATAAGTATATAATAAGATCACAAATAAATATAAAATGATCAAAAGAAAATATGTTCTTGTAGTAGATTTTAAAATTTTTATAAGAATGTCTGCAGGAAAAGTTCTCTTTCTAAATATACATAAATCCCTTTGTTATATTCATGCATTTATAGTGATATATTTATATCGGAAAAGGGTCAAAACTACCCTTAAACTATTCGAAATAGCTTAAATATACCCTTAAACTATATTTCAGCTCAAAAATACCCTTCCCGGCAAACTATTGGGCCACACCTACCCTTTTAGTTAATGGAAGTATCCATGTGTGTGTTAAATGCCACATGGACGCCATATGGATGTCACATGTGCATGCCATACAGACCACACCTCCACATAGACGACTACGGAAAACGGTCAAAACTATCCTTAAACTATTCCAAATAGCTTAACTATACCCTTAAACTATATTTCGGCTCAAAAATGCTCTTCCCGTCTAACTATTGGACTACACTTGCCCTTCTGTTTAACAAAAACATCCATGTGTGTGCTAAAATGTCACATGAACTCCACATGTGCACGCCAAACACACCTCACCTCCACATAGACGACTTAAAGCCCTAATTTCACTCTTTTCCCCCTCATTTCATCCTTTCCTTATTTGGGTATATCTATATGAATATACAATATACATTGACTCAATTCAGTTCCATTTTATTCCGATACTAATATGTTGTACTTTGAAGATCACAATTAAAGAAAATTCAAATTAATTCTGCTATCTAATTCTTAAATCATCTATATATTGAATGTTTCTTTGACTTTCCACAAAATCTAAAACTTCCTTAACAATCATTTAGAGCATCTTCTGAATTAGGGACCACAAAAGCTCAAAACTTGAACAAAAATAGGGTAATTGGTAAAAAAAAATTAAATTATGAAATTTATAAAGACTAGCTAGGTCTTCGTTGATGTAGTAGCAATCGAAGGTGTCATCCCAGCTGTTTTCGTCAAGTTTTCCTCATTAGCAAAATCACCGACGTTGATGTGGCGGAGGTCGGTCACCAAGCCGCCGTAGTCGTCTTCCTTGTGCATGGAGTTCCGGCGATAAGTATATTAGGTCTCTTACAACAACTGCTATTTTGCACCGTGGCAGTGAGTTGAATCAACAAGAAAGCTTTGCTAAGATTTGTTTAAACAAAATTAATTTATTAAGAGAAATTAAAATAATAAATTAGTGTTAATTGATTAATTAAAATGAATTTGTTTATATTATACCTTAGATTGTTTCTTTTATTGTATTTGAAATGGTCATCAAATTGCAATTTCTCTACTTCATTTGGTTACGTATACAAGTTTCCGCAAATATTTTTTTCTTTTTTTAGTTCATTATATACTTTTCAGGATGAAATGACGGAAAAAGAGTGAAATTAAGGCTTTAAGTCATCTATGTGGAGGTGGGATATGTTTGGCGTGCACATGTGGAGTCCATGTGACATTTTAGCACACACATGGATGTTTTTGTTAAACAGAAGGGCAAGTGTGGTCCAATAGTTAGACGGGAAAGGCATTTGTTTGCCGAAATATATTTTAAGGGTATATTTAAGCTATTTCGAATAGTTTAAGGATAGTTTGACCCTTTCCCGTAGTCGTCTATGTGGAGGTTGGGTCTGTTTGGCATGCACATGTGACATCCATGTGGCATTTAGCGCACACACGGATACTTTCGTTAACTAGAAGGGAGGTGTGGCCCAATAGTTTAACGGAAGGGTATTTTTAAACTAAAATATAGTTTAAGGGTATATTTAAGCTATTTCGGATAGTTTAAGAATAGTTCTGACCTTTTTTCCGTATTTATATTACTAAGTTTGACAAAAAATCAGATGAAACAATATTTGAGCATTTATTTACAAATCTGCCTAGGGTCAACACCAATAGGGATGTCACACAAACTGTTGGGCTGAGAAATAGAAGAAGAAGAGCTTCACAAAAGTAAGAATAAATTACATAAATCTCATAGTTTTAATATGAAATTACAATTTATCCCTAATAAGTTTCTAATTACATTAATCCCTTAAAAATTTAAAAAACCGGATACAATAATTGAAGCTCAGATACATTAATATGTAGCTCGAATACATTAAAAACTAACTTGAATACATAATATGTAGCTCAAATACATTAAATACTGACTTGAATACATTAATATGTAGCTCAGATACATTAATATGGAGCTCAAATACATTAAAGAACGAAGGAATTTTAGAGATTTTTAAAAGTAATAGGGGATAATGGAAATAAGTTAAACAAAAGGTGTGCATAATGGAAATAAGTTAAACAAAAGGTGTGCATTTCTGTAATTTGCCCTATACGTATTATGATCATGCTTCATCTCCTATTTTCATTTGGGCTTTTACCTTTTGAGTCGTTGCATTTACTTTCTGGAATTGTAATTGGACTTTAGACTCATTAATATCGTTGAGAAACTGATTAGTGTCACTGACTGCTCATGAAAAACTATCTACAAGCTGAAAGTTAAAGAATTGGTAAAGCAAAAATAAGTGTTAAATAGATATCACCTCCTGTCTGAAGTAGCATTGATACAAATCGAACCTTTCACATTTCATATCTGCAGACGCAATATAAAACTAGCAAAGGTTAAGAACGTTCAGAGCCAAAAAAAAAAAGTGAATATGATCTGCAGGTCACGTTATCTGAAAAGGCTGCTACGGTTCTGTTCTCTCTCAAATTGACAATAACAGTTTTCCCAATTCTTTCAACTTAAAATTAGTCTCCGGGATGATGCACGAGCAAGTAGAAAACACTTGTGTGCGTCATCCAATGTGATAGGGAAATAGCTTGACGAAGCTAGCAAAGGATCTATAATCACCTTAAATCAGAAGCAGAGTAACTGCCAGCTTGATCACCTGAAGCATAATGATTGTAACCTCCGCCACCACCCCTGCCACCTCTTCCCCTATAGTTATTATAGTTCCTCTGTTGATAATTACCAGATTGGTCATAGTATTGGTTGCGACCATTCTGGTAGGACCCTCCTCTGCCACGTCCTCCACGACCATTGGAATATCCACGATGGTCACCCACACTCCCACCACGGTTACCCCTGTAATTCTGATTCTGGTAAGATCTCCGGGGAACAGATTGTTGCTCATTGAAATCTGCATCCTTCATATTGTCAACGCCTTCAACCTCAAACACGACTTCTTCTGGTTCAGCAGGTTGATTGATATCCTGTCCCCCCTGCAAAGTGTATAAAAAGGGTAGACATAATGTAATATACAGTGGATGCAACCACTAAACTATGGGTCTGTTTGGAAAGCCACTTGGTAATTGGAATAGATGTAATTACTAGGGTAGTAATTACCAGCCTAATAATTACACATGTCCTGTTTGGATGCCACCGTGTAATTATACATGTTCTGATTGGATGCACAATTGCAATCATAAAATTATAATAAATTTTTTAAAATAAAAATTAATTATTTAAAATTTATACTAGACAAATAAGAAACTATATAAATGACATTAAATTAAATATTTACGATATATATTCTTTTTTGAAAATATATTAATTAATAAACATATTTTCTGTAACTAATATTATGAAAAAATAATTGATTTATATTTTTTCAAATTAATATATTTCAATTGAATTGATCGTAACAACTAAAAATATTAAGTTTCTACGAACATCGTGAAATGCATGTTTGATAAAAAGAATAATATATAAATAAAATGTCATAAATTATTAAATGTTTGACAAAAATATAATCTATCAAGTCTAATTAAAAAATGACGTGCAATGTAAATTCAATATTACTAAAACAAATGAAACTGAAAATATAACATAGGTTGTAAATTCAAAACAAAAAATTTAACATAATACTCTTATAACAAATTTCAACATAGCAATAAATATGATTTATTTTTATTTCTTAATAAAGAAAATGTAAGTTTATAACCTTACTTAACAATAAATTATATTTTAATTTAAAAATTAGAATACTAATAAAATTATGCTAATGAGAAAATAAGCATGGCATAAAGAAATAGATAGTATGAGAAAATTACATAGAATCACGTAAAGTAAGGTTAAGAACAAGAAGAAAATGAAATATAATAATATAAAATAAAAAATAAACTTTTACAAATTTTTAGAATAATAAAAATAAAAAAAGAACTTAAAATAATAGAAGTAAAAAAATTAAAACAAAAAAATAAAAATAGAAATAAAAAAAAAAGAAATTAAAAAGTAATCAGGTGGTAATTACACCATGTAATTACCAGCAATTCACAGTCTCTGCCTGTGAATTGTAGAGTGTAATTACCCCTGCCAATTACACCAATTACTTGCTGACCAAGTAATTACCTGTCCTTCCAAACGGGACAAGACAGTGTAATTACACCAATTACACCAAATCCAATTACCAGGGTGTCCTTCCAAACAGGCCCTATAGAAAATTCTCTTAGAAAGGACAAGAATACCTGCTGCAGTTCGATATTATTGCTGATGTGAATGTCATTAGTTTCAATTGCTTGAGAACTTACAGCTTCTTCCT